ACCCAAAGTATTTTAGGATCCTCTCCGGTGCTTCAGAGTTTGTGCACTGCGCTGAGATTCTTTAGACTCAGACTTGAGTTAGAAGTAGAATGGAGCACTTAAGGGTTACTGCCGTGGTGCTGATCCGTCATTTGAACCTAAACAGGTGTGACAATGTACATATAGTCAGATGTTTATCTGCATAAACACATTGCCACATTTACTGCTAAAACTGATGGACATGTTATATACATAAATGTCAGCTAATGTTAATGTTGTAGCCCAGCAAACAAAACAATCTATGCTGTCTTTCAGGCAGAGATTGCATACCTTACCGGTCTGCTGGGGTTAATGCTAAGTATGTAACTACTAGATAGTCAGACACAGGTGTGTTATATACTGACTTATGTTTGACCGACTTTGCCATATACTGACTTGGGTTTGACCGACTGTGCCATATACTGACTTGTATTTGACTGACTGTGCCATGTACTGACTGTACCATCCCCCACCCCCCCCCCCCCTCTTTCTGACGTGGGCAATCACGTTTTCTGCATGAGTCAGTTTCTTTCAAGACATCTTTATTACTCTTTTTATCTGTCTAGAGTGTTCTCATTATTCATGTATCAAACCACACCTGTGCCACTTGCAAAGGATTATTTGCCAGAAGACCAACTGTCCATGATTCACTTCCGTAGACCTGTATCAGGATAGGATTTTTATAGCTCTGGAGAATTCTCTCTCGTTTCAATTGACAAAGACAGATTGCACAGAATATTGTTCCTTTTGTAAAATAATGTCTCTACTTGAGCTATTCCACTGTTTACATCAGCAGTATAGAAGACAGAAATGAGCCTTGTGGAAATAAATTTTAGACAGGGCGAGGTGTATTTGGCAGACTTTAAATTGTGATGTGGCTGGGAAGTAGCCTTTCAAGTGAAATGTCGGCTTTAAATGTGAAGAGATATTTCAGACGTTCTGGCTAATTGAAGCGTCGTCACGAACATTTAAGATGCCTGCACTGTCAGTAATATTTTCAAAAATTTTAATGAACACTGCAACAATTTGCATAGACTTGACATCCTGCGGTTTTTTACGACAATCTCTGGAAGTTTGGGCAGTCAAGCGCTTTAACACTTTTGATTGTGTGTCTCATATGCTGCGTCATCCACGTGTCTCCCCTTTAACCGCCCTCGTCTATCGTGCTAAAATTACACACGACACTATAACTGATAGCACAAACAGCAAGAACAATCGGTCGGTCAGACACCCTCTCTACACAAGAGCGTGTATGGGATGAGTCTCCAACACACGATGTCTTTCACCCTGTGTGTACACTCTAAGACTGCTCTTGGTCCATATCTTGGCGTTGTCATCCCACTACTGTCACCGTCTGCCTCTTGCTCGTTTCCTTTCAATTTTTCCCCTCTACAGTGTGGTTTTTAAGATAGCAGGCGTTTGTCAATTCAAAATATGGGAAACTAGTACGGCATTGATTAATGACACTTTCTTCCCAAACTGTCCTCACTAAACTAACACATCCTCATAGAGGTACAGCTAAGACATTTCTTGACGTACCCCGCGGCAGATTTCGCACAATTTTATTTGCAACCAGTGAACATGATCGGGAATGTCTGAGGTCAAAGGTTCTCAAATTTAGGCTTTATGCAGCGCCACATACTTGAACACAACCCTCCGGTATCACGCTGAGCGACACAGCTGTCCACGAGCCTTCATAAATATATGTACTAGGAGAGTTGTTCTTCATGCTTCATGGCTGATAGTTTTTCACGCCACACTGTTTCTCCCAGCCACACTGTTTCTCCCAGCCATACTGCTTTTCACAGTCACACTGTTTCTCCCAGCCACACTGTTTCTCCCAGCCACACTGTTTCTCCTAGCCACACTGTTTCTCCCAGCCACACTGTTTCTCACAGCCACACTGTTTCTCCTAGCCACACTGTTTCTCACAGTCACACTTTTCTTCCCAGCCAGCATTTTCCTCCCAGCCACACTGTTTCTCCCAGCCACACTGTTTCTCCTAGCCACACTGTTTCTCCTAGCCACACTGTTTCTCACAGTCACCCTGTTTCTCACAGTCACACTGTTTCTCCCAGCCACACGGTTTCTCACAGTCACACTGTTTCTCCCAGTCACACTGTTTCTCCTAGCCACCCTGTTTCTCCCAGCCACACTGTTTCTCCTAGCCACACTGTTTCTCATAGCCACACTGTTTCTCACAGTCACACTGTTTCTCCCAGCCACACTGTTTCTCACAGTCACACTGTTTCTCCCAGCCACACTGTTTCTCACAGTCACACTGTTTCTCCCAGCCACACTGTTTCTCCCAGCCATATTGCTTTTCACAGTCACACTTTTCTTCCCACCCAGCATTTTCCTCCCAGCCACACTGTTTCTCCCAGCCAGAAACCACTGAACAGCAATGACACCAAAACCACTGTACAGCAATGACCGCAAAATCACCGCGCAAAAATGATCCTAAAACCACTATATAACAATGATTCCAAAACCACCGTACAGCAGTGACGCCAAAACCACTGTGCAGAGATGACCCCAAAACCACCCTACAGCAATGACCCCAAAACCACCGTGCAGCAATGACCCCAAAATCACCGTGCAAAAATGATCCCAAAACCACTCTATAACAATGTATCCAAAACCACCGTACAGTAGTGACGCCAAAACCACTGTGCAGAGATGACCCCAAAACCACCCTACAGCAATGACGCCAAAACCACCATACAGCAATGACCCCAAACCACCGTACAACAGTGACCCCAAACCAGCGTACAACAGTGACCCTAAAACTATCGTACAGCAGTGACGCCAAAACCACTGTGCAGAAATGACCCCAAAACCACCGTACAGTAATAACCACAAAAAACATAGTACAACAATGACCCCAATACTATCGTACAGAAATGACGTCAAAACCACCGTACAGTCATGACCCCAAACCCACTATACAGCAGTTCCACCGTGCATCAATTACCACAAAACCACCGTACAACAATTACCCCAAAACCACCGTGCAGCATTGATCCCTAAATCACATATTTTTAACCCTTCGTAAATAACATCACAGAAAAGTAGTTTCACGTCAGGTAAGAGCACGTCAAATAGCAAGAGAGTTACTGCCCGTTTGAATTCTTTTTTTTTTTTGGGGGGGGGGGGGGGGGGGGAATAGACCCACTGCCTCCTACAAGAATGTCGTAGCAGGCGACTAATTGAGTGTGTTTCCATCACAGTCTGAGTGCCTCAGTCTGATGTTCAAGTAACCAAAACATCTGCCAACAGATTAGCAAGATATATACAACGGATGTTCACGCAAAACTGAAGTGTGTTTTTTTTTTTCAATATAAGTCTATGAGTGGGTGAACAACCAGAACTTTCCGCTGTAATTTAGAGCCCATAAACGCTAAGTAGAGAGTAACCATACTTCAAAGCTTGATCCCAAGACGTACTCATGACAAGAGCACACACTGATAACCTTGGAATGGCAAACCATGACCCTCAGTTTGGTCGGTGCGGTACATCATGATGATGATAGGGGGAAAGACCTAATTCCTTTCATATTAAAGGCTAATGACAGACATGTCAACGGAAAACAGCGGATTAAGTGGGAAGATATCATAAATTCGTGCACTGGGACAAAGATGTTGAACTGTATCATCCCATGAAACAGTGTTGAATGATCATAGCAGCAGACTGTGGCTAAGATTCTAATCTGTGAATCTTGAAGCTTGCTGACGTTTCCCAGTACAGTCCAATCATGGTTTCTGATCAACGGTTAATCCTGTGTTATTTACCTGTGAAATTTACTAATAGCATACACCAGCTGTCGCCAGCGGCCAAGCTTGACTGAAGACGTTCAGAATTATATTATTTGTTATATTCATTTTAAGGCGGAAACTGTTATTGAAGTCTGTGCAGAAGGATTGGAGATGTTTGCCCAGTGATCCTTAAAGTTTTTACACTCAGGGAAACAGCAAAATGAGAGAAGAAATGTTTGTCGCGGACAGGCTGACGACGCTCTCCATGGCATTAGCAGTCTCTTGATGATCTCCTCCATGAGGATATACCAAGATGTCATCAGCAACTGACAAAGTCCTGCCTCTCCCGTGCGACTGCTGCTCGGTCATCAACACTGAATGCACACTGAATACAGTCTAAGGCAGCGGAGAACTTTGAGACAATCCTGTACAGATGGTCATCGGTTCTGAGGACCAACAACCGCGACCCGTCTCTGGGACAGTGCCACGGCTACCATCGTCCTGCTGTTGGCCCTCTGCCAACTGTTCCCCCCCTCCCCCTACTGATTTCCAAGCCCAGGATTCTTCGGCAACCCGTGTTCGCCGTTCTGCTGGTCGGCTCCTGCTTCATCTCCGAGGAGCCATACCATCCATGACCGTTGTCTCCAAACAATTCTAGCGTTCAATATGGCCCAAGTATTTCACTGTTCAGAAAACGGTAGGGTTTTGGGGCTAATTCCCCTCCATGTTCAACAAAGAACAAACCATATAATTATGGCAAACAAAAACAGCAGACAACTCAAAAAGAGACAAAACTAGACAAAGAAAAAAATACAGTGAAGGAGGGAAAAAAGGGGGAAGGGGAGGACATAGTTAAAGAGGTAATGGAATGGAAATGACTGCCAGTTAATCTGTGATACAGGGCAGACAAATGTAGCTGATTACACCAGTTAATCTGTGTTATGGGACAGAATGGTGTCGTTGACTGTAGCAGTAAAACCTGTAGTAGAGTATGATGTCGGTGACTGCAACAGTAGTTACATCCGAGCCACAGAACGGTAAGCAAGGACCGAGGTTGTGGTGTGGTCTGCTCTCCGCCTGTCTGCCTGCGTCATTGACAGGGTCATTGAGCAGACGTACATCCGGTTTGTGGCTGGCTGGTTCACGGATGGGGGCAGCTGCTGTTGTAGTTTGTTGATAGGATTACACACTTTGACCATTGAAATATTTGTAATTAAGCTCGGGAAAATGGCAGAAGAACGGATTGTACGTGTAGGAACGAGAAAAAGTCAGGTAATGTGTAGTTTATATGCGTTAGGTAGCTTGAGTCAGCCGATTTTTTTTTAATTTGGCCTGTATGGAGTATATATAATACAAACTATACTGAAACAACCGGACCTCGGAACTGGGACAGTTTCAGCTTATGGCCTATATTATTATTACATATGTGGTATATATAATTATCACATAAATTCATAAATCACAAGTTAGTTTAACGGCAACAGATAACTGTATGTTGAAGCAATAACACACACACACACACACGTCTTGAGTTAAACTGGATACTTTATTTAAAATGTTGTTTTCCTGTAAACTATACTATAATGTAAATTTTTTAATAATAATTATAATTTTAAAATTAAAAACTCGCTTAACTCTTTCAGGCCCATGAATTTAGACACACTTGGCCCACATTAATTTTCCTTTATAAAAATGACAGAGGGGTTGGTGTAAAAAAAAGGCAATAGAGAATGTAGTATACTTCTAATCCCTACAAAAGTATAGGCTATCCTCCGAATAATGGTCCCAAATTATCGAGGCCGAAAATATACCCTAACAGGGCCTCGTGTCAGTTTTGTACTTCCAGGTACTATACCGCCGAATTGTGAACTTTCGGGGACCGCCAACGCCGAAAGTATCCCCCACGCCGCTAACACAGCGTGGATTGGGGCTAAACTAGATGGTTGGGACCCACGAGCAAATAAAATGAAGAAAGCTGCAGGAGATGCGGTAGCTGCTGCTCGTGAGTTCCAGCCATCTAGTTTAGCCCCAATCCACGCCGCTCACCCGGAATAGGGGATACTCTTGGCTGAACAAAGTTTCAACAGCAAAAATGGCAGAAAAATGGATCATTACACACAGAATATTTGCTTTGTACAATTATATACAGGCTGTAGCTGCAATGATTTAAATGTAGCTTAGCCATTTTATGGTAGTATCCATTTGTTTGGAGCACACTCCTTATCTCACACCCTAAATACAGTAGCAGTAGGACATTGTCTGTGTCAGACTCATCAGGATTGCTAGATTCTCTAACAGCTGATTGCTCAGTTATCGTTGGCGTAAATTCATCGCCTGAATCACTTTCCGCAGAAAGACGCATTCTGTGACCTGTACTTGTGGTTGGAACGTTGGTATCTGTGGCACTCGAAAGCGAACTTAGAAAATGCACTGTTAAAAATAAAGCTAACTATGAATCAGAACAATCTGTGCCCACATGTATTGGAACCCTGAATTTTATTCAAAGGAAGACTCTAGAGTAACCTTCCCTAAATACTTTAAATGTAGTTCTGAACATTAGAAATCAATACGGCGCTGAATGCTAAAAAATATTTACGGGACACACGATCGACGCCGACAGTGTTGTTCAGGCAAATTGGAACTTGTCAATCAACACTCACATCGTTGCTCAGGCCTTAAAGAGTTAAGGCTTAAGATTTATAGTAGGCTGTTATCATTAACCTTAACATAATTTATAATAATATAAATGTTATATAATATTAGGGTTAATGATGTACTACTGCTCTCACATTCAAGCCTAACATTGACATATCTCTCTGACACAAGGCACTCATTGACTGAACACGCACAGTACAGCAACTCAAAGCTGCTCGCAGCTACAGCTGTTGTTAGTGTCATTCATTTACTGTCTAAGGTTAATTCTAGACATCCTGTTTTGATAACAAAACATTAACTCATTCTGTGCATATCAGCTGTTGATTCGGGACATTTTTTAACAGGCAATACGATACATTTCCTTAACTTTCATATAGCCCAAATATTTAACCCCTCGTACCATAGTTATCATATCTTTATCAGAGTTTCTCTCTGAGCATTAGGTTTGAGTCTGAGGAAACACAGCCAGTCTAACCATGATCTCAGTCTTTCAACAGAAAACAGCCAATCTATCCCTGATCTCAGCCAGTCAACAGAAAACACAGCCAGTCTAACCATGATCCCAGTCTTTCAACAGAAAACAGCCAATCTATCCCTGATCTCAGCCAGTCAACAGAAAACGCAGCCATTGCAAACCTGATCCCAGCCCGCCTGTCTGCGTGACTGAATCATTTCCTTCATTACAGACATATTTGTCTCTTCTGCTGATTTCTGAGCCAGAGTTGAGAAAGATTGCTCTGCTGCACATTCAGGTCTTGAAGCTGGCCATTTGATCATTGCTCTCGTTTTGCAGAATGACCAGATCATCTCACCTGAATTTACTGTGTATAAGGCTTGCATTGGTTTGACCCTGTCTTGTTCTTTGACTTTCTGACTGGTCACCTTCACAGGCTTTATGTTTATGCGACGGATCAACATCAAGGCACACAGGTATAACCCATTCATAAGTGCTCCATTCTACTTCTAACTCAAGCCTGAGTCTGAAGAATCTCAGTGCAGTGCACCGGCGAGGATTCTGAAATATTTTGGGTAGATTTTTGACTCAAAATTTTTGCCCGGGCAGTGCAGCTAGACTACTCTTTTCAATCTCCAACTGCCAAGGGATTTTTAACGTGCGAAAGAATACACACAGACGTCCGGTTTTACTACCCAGAGACCAGGGAAAATTACACCATACCTCAAGTCCACTCAGCCCCCCAGCACACTCAGACCTTGTTAAATATCTCAAGTCTGGCATCTGTCGGTGGCTGGCTTTTTGCACTATAGTCATGTGAGATTTGTTGGTGAGTACCTTCTTCGGCTGCAGTCACATGCAGTTCTTGATACATACGTTTGAATCCTTGCTACCAAGTGAATGCAGTAAGCTGAGATTTGTTTCTGTGGGATGTAAATAGACTGAAGTATTCATGTGCAGTCAAAGAGATCCTTCACAAAGAAAACCTGCACATAAAAAAATCAAGCAATACTTAATGTAAGATTGTGTTCAGGTGTGACAGGTGAACTAACCCTAGAGGTATGCAGGTGGTTAATATCATGTCTGATCTTGTTCCTGCAGCTTGCACTCATCCAGACCACCTCTGTGATTCAAAAGCTGAAGGCCTTGGACCCAAGCCTGAAGTTTGAGACAGGTCAGAACAGTAATTACAACAAATTTCATCAGTAACTGTTCATGTTAATATGAACTCTTTTCTTTTGAATATATTTTTATATTTAATCATCTCTCTCACAATATACCTCTTGCCTTCCCTCTGACTATATACGTTTTTCCACTCATAATCTTCCTGTTGTCTTCCTTCTAGAAATAAGGTTGGAATCTGTTGACTGTGACATACCTAAGACCAAACGATCTGGCTGACATTTAACCTCCAGGGAAAGACGAGATAGACATATAGTCAGACTGCTGCAGGTCTGCATTTATGGAAGCTTCTTTGTGTGACAGGGAATACCCATGATCTGCCGCTGCCTTCTCTTGAGGCCCAACCAGTCAATGTGTGGGTCACTGTGACGTGACGCGTGGTTTAAATGTTTATAATGTTGAGTATGGATGTTCCTCTCAACACATTTCCTCCACCAGATTAACCGAACTAAAATCTGAGCTATGTTGCTCTCAGACAAAGTCCTGGATACCCAAGAAAACAGCCATATTGGCTCGTTAAGTACTTTAACATTAGCTGAACTTGGTACCCACAAGAGAAGGCAAGGAATTTTAGATGTCTATCAAACTTAATGAATTATTAGACAGGGCAAGTAATTCCTCCGTCATCTACCTTCTCCCGGTGTTTTTATGAATAATTAAAGAATTATTATATTATTAATTGAGCACCCACCAAATGTTATTCTATCCTAACCGTTTAATTAAACATGTAAGAACAGACATTTGGAATTTAACAAACTATGTAGTTTAAAACTTGACATACAGCTTTATTTACTACAATGAAATTCCCAGTTTGTTGATTTACACAAACAGTGACTGGTTAATGAAAGTGATACGCTTCAGCGAGACAAACAGCTCGGGGTTTAGAGTGGTATGATAATGATGATAAAAGGTTAACATAAAGGGGTTAACTCAACTTATAAGCCTCTGACAGCCGTGAGGAACTGTCAAGCTTGTCCAACTCTTCCTTGCCTGTTGTCTGCCTGGTTCAGCTTATTCTCCACTTCATCCCCACCTCGTTCTCCACATCGTTCTCCACCTCGTTCCCAGCTGGCCGAGTCTAACACAATGTAGTCTACTTCATGGACTGATCGTCACATGGGCGCTGTAATCATGGAAACAAAACACATACGTGTAGTATCTTGACTTACACTAAGAATACATGTATCAATTAATACAACATATAATAATAAGATATAGCCCATCACTCCTCCTCATATTCCACATCCTCTCCAGTCTAGTCTGAAGGTCTTTTGTCTTACATGGGCGTCACATATCCTGCCTTCCCTCTTCATGCTACGTCATGATAGTTGACTTTCTAAGTCTGTTGTCCGTCTTCACTCAGACTTCCAATCATTGTTTTTACATCAACACGTGGGGCAGGTTATGTGCTGAAACTCCAACCATTTTATATGTGCACGCTGTCCTGAATATTATCTTTCAGTGACCGTGAATACTGTACACCCATCATTCTTCCCCTGGGGTTATAAATCCCCTGTTTAGGTGAACACCTTAAGTGAGCACATGGTGGGCACACAAACGTAGCAGCATCCCTGCACATATGGGAATGATTGAAACAATATAATTACATTTCATTATAGCAAATGTCATTGTTCACATCTTATTTTATACACATGAAAACATACACTGAAAAACATGTGACCCAAACATACAGGAAATAGGAATAGTTTAGCAGTTCCCTAACTTGAGATACTGAATACTCACAAAGAACTATTTCAAGCAGAATGTGCAGACAAATTAGGAAAAGGTAGTATAGACTAAGCGCTTAACTCCCTAACCTAAGTATACAAGATTAAAATAAATATTCACCTGGGAACTTTTCCATCTATCGCCAAACCAGAGTACGACAGTAAAATATACCTTTACGTCGACCTGTGTTTGTTTGCCGACAGGCTGCGATTAATGACGGGAATGCCACAGGCTCGAAGTATAAGTATCAATCTATTGTCCAAATTAAACTCCTCCCTTTACTTAGTTTTTACCCAACCCTCAAGAGGATGGCTTAAGCTCCGCCTCCGGAGTACTTCTTAGATCAAATTAGCTAACAAGTGGCCTGTCAGTCAATTCTGGACTGACATCCCTAGAGCGAACATTCTTAAGTGACCCAATCTAGTTTACACCGAATCTAACTGGCCGGTGTGAAAGACTGTCAGTGAAGCCATTGTGTTTGCTACGTGACCAAGATCAAGATAAAGCATTCCTAATTGCCAAACACCTGTTCTCTCCAGAATTACACTGACGTGTTAAACTCCGACCTCCCGGCTCCACCATGTCTAGCGTCTACTCAATTCCCCTGTTCAAAAGGGCCCCGCTCAGTCTCTACAGTCTGGTCAGGAGATAACATTCTGACACTGGCGTGAGAATAGAATTCCTAGCTACAGTGTAAAGTTTTAGGTAATATTACCCAAGGTTGGGTTGCTTTGTCTGGACTAAGGACTGGAAACGTTTAAATCAATACGGTTTAAAGTAACATTTGGTTTAAGGGCATAGTCTCTTGTCTCTCAATAACCAGAAGAACTTATTACAAGTACTAACTTCTGGTCACTTGGACGGGTTCTCCGGAAGCAACACCTGTAGATAAAGAAACAGAGAGGATGTGACACAAATGAGGCTACATGCGTATACCACGAAACCAGCTAAGAAGGCTAATCCAGGGAACAAATGCTCAGTGAAGTTGGATGTGTCGGCCAAAAGTTGAAAATATCGCAACTATGCAGTAAACAGGCACAAAAAAATTAAGTCACTTAGACTAATGAAAAAAAAATAAGATATTAACCTTGCTATTTTTCATTCAATAAAACGTTTCCCTCATTCATTACTATTATATTAACCTTTCTGTTTTCACTGAATGAAACGTTTCCCTCATTCATCACTATTATATTAACCTTTCTGTTTTCACTGAATGAAATGTTTCCATCATTCATTACTATTATCAAAGAAAGCAGTGTTTCCCTATTGTGAATTGAACAAAGAAGACACAAACAATAGATATGAGTGGGAAAAGCCATGCAAAATAATATTCAGAATGAGAATATCTTCCGCAAATATCATCCCTCAGGAATAGCATGCCATCTGTTAAAATCTGAACACGATGTAACCAAGGACAACACATTTCAAATCCTTCATAAGTCAGTCATTGGATAACGCTAAGATTTCTTGAAGCTGCCATGATTCGTCACTTGTACCCATAACTGTGTATACAGAAAGATATGGTTCTGACATTGAGGCTGACCTGGTAAAACAGGCAGTTGTGTTTGATGGTTGTTGAATTTGTACTTCAGTTATAGAGCATTCATTTAGAGCATGCCATGAGTCGACAAAGTGGGGGCTTCCTTCGAAGTCAGAGTGCATCTGCCCAAGAGGCAAGAAACTAACAGTCTGCATACAAGTAAGTCATATATGTGAAATGGATGTGCACACAACACTTAGGTTCTGGAATAGGACTACAGTCTCAAAGTTGATAAACAGCCAGAATTGTCTGCCTGAGTTTACAGTCAGTGAACCCTACTATTGTCAATGAATTAAAAATTTCCATTATTTATTACCGTTATATTAACCTTGCCATTGCAGTGCCTATGACCACAACCGGAGACCGGATCTTGGATTCTGCACTTTCAAAAGTAATTACTCATTTATTTGTTCTAACAGATGTAATGTCAGCTAGTCTTAGTAGGGTAGGGTTTCACAAGGTAGGACAAGGTCTCTCTCTGCTGATGGGCTAACTGCCTGTTGAGAGCCTTGCACAGAGCATGAACTCCATAGCTTCGGCGACGATCCCTGGAGATATCCTTAAAAATTGCAGCCATGAACCGAACCATGCAGCCATGAAACGATCCCACCACCTTCTGAACACGGGGCAAACGGCTTGACCACTTCGCCACAGAGACCCTCTGTTTCTGATTGTCCTCATGTGTGTTAGACTTGTGGATATTTGGCATCACACTTTCACTAAACAATACAATCCTGAGCTTTGAACTGTAGATATTTGGCATCACACTTTCACTAAACAATACAATCCTGAGCTTTGAACTGTGGATATTTGGCATCACACTTTCACTAAACAATACAATCCTGAGCTTTGAACTGTGGATATTTGGCATCACACTTTCACTAAACAATACAATCCTGAGCTTTGAACTGTGGATATTTGGCATCACACTTTCACTAAACAATACAATCCTGAGCTTTGAACTGTAGATATTTGGCATCACACTTTCACTAAACAATACAATCCTGAGCTTTGAACTGTGTAACCAAGAATATTTGAATCATCTGTGTACTTTGCTATTTATTTTACTTAGTCCTGATGGAACTGTATTTTCTGTCCATTTGTGATAATTGATTAGAGTTGTCTTCCCCTCTTCTTGCCACGACAAAAGGCTGACAAGAAGCTTCCTCCATATCTCTTTCCATAATTCTTGTCAGTTGTGTTTAGTTTTTCACTTCTCATAATGTTGCCCTAACATTAGGACTGCTTTTTTCTGGTGTTGTTATCTGATACTTGTAGACTCTTGAGATTACTCAAGGTCTTTTTGACAATTTTGTGTAAAACCACACAGATTCTGCATATCCTCACATGCATGGAAGTAAGCAGGTAGTAACTTTCAGACTGCGCAGGATGTAGCACTGAGATACCATCTGTTCAACAAGTTTATGACCAGACACTGATGAAAGTCACTATTTATTTTAATACATCAGAGTGTGCTGACTGCAATAAAGAGATAAGTATGCAAACAAATATTTTGGAAAGACATATGTCAGCTTTATGGAACACATTACAATAACAACAACAAAAAGATATTGTGGTGACAAGCCTCATCACCAATCAAGCAGCAGTGGTGGTGTCAGCATCCTTCATTTGTTGTTTTGTGATGTGTTTCTGCAAAGTTAACAAATACTTGAGTTTTTCCAATACTTTTTTTTTAAAGATCATAGAATGTGCAGCATTCAGAGAACAGAAGATGCTTTGTCCGAACAGACTCCATAGGATGAGACAGACTGTAAACAGACTAAAGTTGCTCTCTGTAAATATGTTAATGCTGAGAACTTTTGAAATCAGGGGAAGAATACAGTGTTGTAAGCAAAGTAAAAGGAAAGGACCTTTTTCCACGCCTTTAGGGCATATAGGGCTAGATCTATTTTTCATAGACCAACTGCACAGGATGGGTGATGTGGTCAGCGTCACGCCAGCCGCCTCTACTTCCTGGGACTGCACCCGGTACCCACTCAAGGCTGGGCAGACCTGGGAGCCAAGGTCATTTTTTGAAGAAAAGTCTGGCTCCGCCAGGTAGCGAACCCACGACCTTCCGATCCGTGGCGTGCGTCTAGCCACTCTGCCACTGTGACTCCCATACAGTGTTGGGAGGAGTATAAATAGCACACATATTTGTCAACTTGCAGATTGGTGAGAAGTCGCTCTTCACCAAGGAACTGGAGACAGCCCTGCTCAAGAAACAGGTTGACTTTGTTGTGCACTCCCTCAAAGATCTGCCCACAATCCTGCCAGATGGACTTGTTATTGGATGCGTTTGCAAGTATGTTTTGTGTTTGATTCTAGGTCATGTTATGATACATTCAGCTTTTTGAGAATAAAAAAAAGGAGACCAACATAGTATATACCAAAGTTATGTAAGCACATAATGTAAATAAATTGCCGAAGAAGCATGCATGAACAGTAAGCAAACCTGGAACTGCCAACACATTTCCTCAGTGAGGCCAGACAATTATGGGACATTAGGAAGATTTTTTTTAAAAGGAGATGATAAGATATATTTACTTGAGGAAACCAAACAGATTGGTCAGAAGAAAAACTCATGGAGGAAGTAAATGATTGGTCGGAAGTCCTAGGATGACGTGAAGAGTATCCACGGAAGATAAAACTAGGGGATGTGGGGTTCATTTATAAAATATATAATCCTGAATAGAAATAGATTTAAAAGTACAACAGAGCATGTAACAGGGTGCTGATGAATAGAACCATTGATGTTTGCTATTGTCTGCAATAAGTCTGGTTGCAATAACTCTGGTTGCAATAAGTCGTCGTCTAGGAGATGACGTGTCTAGTGATGATCTTAGCACACATTCTTAAGATGACATAACTGGGACAAGCCGACACCGACTTTAAAGTTTATTGACATCTCATCACTTACATAGAAAATCCTGTCCGTGTCCTAATTCACAGCTTGCATGCACCACATCATTCAGATTCCAACACGCTGACTTCTCACACATTCATCAACTAGAGTTCGGTGCCTTCACTTCCACATCGCCACATAGATGGATCTGGTTGTTACCACAGACTAGCTTGGCTAGACTTAGCTTTGATGGATGTTGTCGTCTGGTCTTCCTCTCGCAACAATCAGTCTCATGTTGTCATTCTCCCGAACACTCTCACGTCCTCTCGTTCTGACGATGAACACATACTAACCTAACCCGACTGGGGTCTGAACTTATACCCAGTGTTCGTTCCACGGGGCAACACATGGTTGTTCTTGGGTTCCATGTGGCGACCTGTGGTCGTTCTCATGGGGTTCCACGTGTCGTTCTCCTGGGGTTCCACGTGATAGCTCGTGGTCATCCCCTATCTTGAAAACCTCGGTTAATCCGAGTATCTGGCTTCTCTCTGTATTCTTGTTAACCTTGGGCTTTCCCCCTCAACCTTCCTAATCAGGGTGAAAATATCTCCCATTACATGTCTGTTATTGTCTGTTATAACGATGTCAGTTAATATGTTTAAATACATTCTAGGAGGGACAGCCCATATGATGCAGTGGTGATGCACCCAAAGTACAGAGGAAAAACGCTTAAAGATTTACCGCCTGGAAGGTGAGAAGTCATGTGGCTCTAGTCAGTTTTGTCTTCCACTGTTTCCTTTGTCACCATAAGGTTTCTGGACAAAGCTCTGGCTGTTTGTTCTTTCAGTTGTTCACTAATTTGTATTGCTGCTGTTTCACTAATTCAAGGCCATTTTGGTGCACTGCTTTTAAATAGTCTGCTATTGCTGCTGTTGTTTGTAGAGCCAGGTGTTCATGGTCAGTGCTGTTTGTAGAGCCAGTTGTTCATGGTCAGTGCTGTTTGTAGAGCCAGTTGTTCATGGTCAGTGCTGTTTGTAGAGCCAGTTGTTCATGGTCAGTGCTGTTTGTAGAGCCAGTTGTTCATGGTCAGTGCTGTTTGTAGAGCCAGTTGTTCATGGTCAGTGCTGTTTGTAGCACACTGTTTTAAAAGTATCTCAGTAATCTTTTTTTGGGCATGTCCTCGTTGATGTTGCAGTTTCTCTGTTCTGTCTTGATGGCATTGTCCAGCCATCATTACTTGATCATTAACCAATAGAAATTGTAATTTACAAATAGAAATCAAAATTTATCAGTAGACATTTACTAACAGAAGTCATCACTTACAAATAGAAGTCATTTACCATTAAAAGTCATCATTTACAAATAAGTCATTTACCATTAAAAGTCATCATTTACAAATAAAAGTCATTTACCATTAAAAGTCATCATTCACCAATAGTGATTATATACCAGTAGAAGTAATCAATAACCAATAAAGTCATCATTTACCAACAGAAGTCTTTCATTCATAAAGAAAAGCAAGAGATTATTCAGTCAACACCATTGCCATTTTCTGAATATTTAGTTAACACTTTTGCCAGTTTGTCAGACTTTTGTTGTGGTCATTGTTGTATGTTATCATTGCAGTGTTATCGGCACCAGTTCGTTAAGACGAGCAGCTCAAATTCAGCGGATGTATCCACAGTTCAAGATAGAAAGCATTGTATCCTTGATTTATAGCTGTAGTTGTTGTTTGTTTCTGACCTGTTTATTAAAATGTACCTCTTTATGTTGGACTTGACATTTTTTGGCTTATGTTGCAAATTGTCATACGTATAAACTGATGGCTGGGTGACATCACTGGAATTCTGAACAAACATGAACAGTCAAAATGGGGCAGGCGAATTGGCAATGTGTTCAGGCTTTCCAACAGGCAGTGTTGAGCATAGTAATTTGCATGTGGCCTGCTACAGGGTCATGGTGATATCATCAAACAGTCACAGAGCTTTTAAGAGTCGAGTGTCAGATGAGAGGGTGGCCTGAGAAAGTTTTTGGGTTCATGAACCTTAACCGTGAATCAGAGAGGCAACCTGAATACAAGATTCCAGAAACTGGCGGAGCAAGACACGTACGATGCCATCATTTTGGCTGTGGCTGGTCTTGAACGGATGGGCTGGCATGAGTGGATTTCACAGGTAACCAGGTTTCTTTTGTATGTTACTGTCAGTCATTAGAGTGCTGTATGTTACTGTCAGTCATTAGAGTGTTGTATGTTACTGTCAGTCATTAGAGTGCTGTATGTTACTGTCAGTCATTAGAGTATTGTATGTTACTGTCAGTCATTAGAGTGTTGTATGTTACTGTCATTCATTAGAGGGTTGTATGTTACTGTCAGTCATTAGAGTGTTGTATGTTACTGTCATTCATTAGAGTGTTGTATATTACTGTCAGTCATTAGAGCGTTGTATGTTACTGTCAGTCATTAGAGTGTTGTATGTTACTGTCAGTCATTAGAGTGTTGTATGTTACTGTCAGTCATTAGAGTGTTGTATGTTACTGTCAGTCATTAGAGTGTTGTATGTTACTGTCAGTCATTAGAGTGTTGTATGTTACTGTCAGTCATTAGAGTGTTGTATGTTACTGTCAGTCATTAGAGTGCTGTGTGTTACTGTTAGTCATTAGAGTGTTGTATGTTACTGTCAGTCATTATAGTGTTGTATGTTACTGTCATTCATTAGGGGGTTGTATGTTACTATCATTCATTAGAGTGTTGTATGTTATTTTCGCCCATGTTATGAGGAGAGGGAAAATGGAACATGTTGTGACCACTGGAAAGATCTGTGGAAGGAGAGATAGAGGAAGATGATGAGAGAAGATAATTGACAGTCTTGTTGCATGGCATGGAGGTGTGTCAGCACACAAACTGATACATGCTGCAGGAGATTGCAGATTATGGAGAGGCATGATCGTCCATGCCAGTTAGCAAAGCACCTGATGATAGTGATGATGTTATTGTCAGTCATCAGAGTGTTGTGTGTTATTGTCAGTCATTAGAGTGTTTTATTTTATTGTTAGTCATCAGAGTGTTGAGTTTTATTGTCAGTCATCAGAGTGTTTTGTGTTATTGTCAGTCATCGGAGTGTTTTATGTTATTGTCAGTCATCAAAGTGTTTTGTGTTAATGTCAGTCATCAGAGTGTTTTGTGCTGTTGTCAGTCATCAGAGTGTTTTGTGTTATTGTCAGTCATCAGAGTGTTTTGTGTTATTGTCAGTCATCAGAGTGTTGTGTGCTGTTGTCAGTCATCAGAGTGTTTTGTGTTATTGTCAGTGATCAGAGTGTTTTGTGTTATTGTCAGTGATCAGAGTGTTGTGTGTCATTGTAGTTACCAGAGTTTTGTGTGTTATTGTTTGTCATCATAGTGTTGTATGTTATTGTTAATCATCAGAGGTGTGTTATTGCCAGTCATCAGAGTGTTGTATGTTGTTGTAGTCATCAGAGTGTTATGTGTTATTGTCAGTCATCTGAGTGTCGTATGTTGTTGTAGTCATCAGAGGTGTGTTATTGTCAGTCATCGGAGTGTTGTAGTCATCAGAGTGTTATGTGTTATTGTCAGTCATCAGAGTGTTGTATGTTATTTTCAGCCGTCAGAATTTTGTGTGTTGTCAGCCATCAGAATCTTGTGTGTTATTTTTTTTGGTCATCAGAGTGTTGTATGTTTTTGTGGTCTTCAGAGTATTGTATGTTATAATAGTCATCAGAATATCATATGATGTTACTATTTGTCATCAGAATGTTGTATATAACTGTCATACAGTGGCGCAGGAGCATGGGAGCTCAGCCATCTTGGCCATAACCTTCCCTGTATACTTTGCAAGAGGCTAAGTGATGCCCTAACAATGTGTTAACATTCATTTTTTTAAGCATTTATCTATATATGTCATATTATTGCTGAAATATTATATATATTTGCCCTTTAAATAATAACTATTGTTATTGCACACCTAAACATGGCTCAGGCTTCTTGAGACTCCTGCCTCCTAGAAAATCATGAGGTGGCTGAGTTTCTCTGATGCCCTGCCCCCTCCCCCCATGTTTATATGCCCCTGCTATCAGTCATGAGAGTGCTTTGTGTCCCTGATAGGTTGTGATGACCCCATTATATGTGCTTGTTGGCCAATTGAAGCTCTCCTGTTTGCAGGTTCTGACTCCAGAAGAGTGCATGTATGCGGTGTCGCAGGGTGCCATGGCTGTGGAGTGCAGGGCTGATGATGATGCAGCTCTCTCCTGTCCTCCTGCATGTTCGTTTGGCATGGTCCATGTTTGTTACAGCTTGTTTGTGTGATGCTCTTGTTTTATGTGGGTGGTCTGTTTGTTACAGCTTCAGTTTGTTGGATGCTGAAGTGTGTGGGAATGTCTGAATGTCAATTTTTGTTTGGGTGTGATATGGTCTGTGTTGTTTGTGTGTGTGCTTGAAATATTATAAAACTGGTCTGTGCGTTACAGCTTTTGTGTGAAGATGGTCTGTGTGTTACAGCTTTTGTGTGAAGATGGTCTGTGTTTTACAGCTTGTTTGTGTGGATGCTCTTGTTCGTGTGGATGGTCTGTTTGTTACAGCTTGTTTGTGTGGATGCTCTTGTTTGTGTGGGTGGTCTGTGTTGTTTGTGTGTATGGTCTGTGTTGTTTGTGTGGATGGTCTGTTTGTTACAACTTGTCTGTGTTGATGGTCTGTTTGTTACAGCTTGTTTGTGTGGATGGTCTGTGTGTGACAGCTTGTTTGTGTGGATGCTCTTGTTCTTGTGGGTGGTCTGTTTGTTACAGCTTGTTTGTGTGGATGCTCTTGTTCATGTGGATGGTCTGTTTGTTACAGCTTGTTTGTGTGGGTGGTCTGTGTTGTTTGTGTGTATGGTCTGTGTTGTTTGTGTGTATGGTCTGTGTGTGACAGCTTGTTTGTGTGTATGGTCTGTGTGTTACAGCTTGTTTGTGTGTATAGTCTGTGTGTTACAGCTTGTTTGTGTGGATGGTCTATGTGTGACAGCTTGTTTGTGTAGGTGGTCTGTGTTGTTTGTGTGTATGGTCTGTGTTGTTTGTGTGTATGGTCTGTGTGTTACAGCTTGTTTGTGTGTATGGTCTGTGTGTTACAGCTTGTTTGTGTGGGTGGTCTGTGTGTGACAGCTTGTTTGTGTGGATGGTCTGTGTGTGACAGCTTGTTTGTGTGGATGGTCTGTGTGTTACAGCTTATTTGTGTGGGTGGTCTGTGTGTTACAGCTTGTTTGTGTGTATGGTCTGTGTGTTACAGCTTGTTTGTGTGTATAGTCTGTGTGTTACAGCTTGTTTGTGTGGATGGTCTATGTGTGACAGCTTGTTTGTGTAGGTGGTCTGTGTTGTTTGTGTGTATGGTCTGTGTTGTTTGTGTGTATGGTATGTGTGTTACAGCTTGTTTGTGTGTATGGTCTGTGTGTTACAGCTTGTTTGTGTGGGTGGTCTGTGTGTGACAGCTTGTTTGTGTGGATGGTCTGTGTGTGACAGCTTGTTTGTGTGGATGGTCTGTGTGTTACAGCTTGTTTGTGTGGGTGGTCTGTGTGTTACAGCTTGTTTGTGTGGATGGTCTGTGTGTTACAGCTTGTTTGTGTGTATGGTCTGTGTGTTAAAGCTTGTTTGTGTGGATGGTCTGTGTATGACAGCTTGTTTGTGTGGGTGGTTTGTGTGTTACAGCTTGTTTGTGTGGATGGTCTGTGCGTGACAGCTTGTTTGTGTGGATGGTCTTTGTGTGACAGGCTGTTTGTGTGGATGGTCTGTGTGTTACAGCTTGTTTGTGTGGATGGTCTGTGCGTGACAGCTTGTTTGTGTGGGTAGTCTGTGCGTTTCAGCTTGTTTGCGTGGATGGTCTTTGTGTGACAGGCTGTTTGTGTGGATGGTCTGTGTGTTACAGCTTGTTTGTGTGGATGGTATGTGTGTTACAGCTTGTTTGTGTGGATGGTGTGTGTGTTACAGCTTGTTTGTGTGGATGGTCTGTGTGTTACAGCTTGTTTGTGTGGATGATCTGTGTGTGACTGCTGGTTTATGTGGATGGTCTGTGTGTGACAGCTGGTTTATGTGGATGGTCTGTGTGTGACAGCTTGTTAGTGTGGGTGGTCTGTGTGTTACAGCTTGTTTGTGTGGATTGTCTGTGTGTTACAGCTTGTTTGTGTGGATGGTCTGTGTGTTACAGCTTGTTTGTGTGGATGGTCTGTGTTGTTTGTGTGGATGGTCTGTGTGTTACAGCTTGTTTGTGTGGATGGTCTGTGTTGTTTGTGTGGATGGTCTGTGTGTTACAGCTTGTTTGTATGGATGGTTAGTGTATTACTGCTTATTAGAGGATATCCTTAGGGGCTGTAATCATTCATTTGAATGTTATGCAAGAGTTTTAAAAACACATGGTGCCATGAGTTGAAAACCTAAAAAATTTAAATAATACAAATGTGTTAAATGTTACTTTCAGGAAGGTGGATGCAGCGTACCAGTTTCTGTGTTTACAGAAGTCTCTAAAAGCCAGGTAACAGCCCAGCATCACTGGTTTAGTTGTGGTCTATGTGGACAGTTTCCATATATGTAACAGCCCAGCATCACTGGTTTAGTTGTGGTCTATGTGGACAGTTTGTTTATATGTAACAGCCTAGTTTGATGTGGAATAACCTAACTGCATAATGTAAGAGTTAGGGATGTCAACACACGAACCGATACACGCAGTTGCAGATCATAGGTTGTGTAGAGGCATGATCGCCCACACTAGCTGGCAAGGTACCTGATGATGATGATAATTTATAATCAGAAATATAACTCAACTTTGGTAGAAAGGAAGGGGGTGGTCACGGGGATTAATTTATTTATGAACTCTGTTCTTTTGATTGTCCATCCATACCAGGTAGTTTATTTCTCACACAATATATTTGAGATTCACAATAGACAGATTTGAGAGTAGCATTTAGTAACTCAAAGAGTCACTGGTCAAGTGGCTAGAATACTGCTTTGTCATGGAAGAGACCCAGGTTCGGATCTTTAAGGTGGTGGAAGCTACTTCTAATAGGGAAAACCAAACAGTTTGTGAAGACCCCCAGTCCTGCACCGCCCGACGGAATGGTACTAGAGGCAGTCAGGACAGCTCAAGGACTTGGTCACTGGCAGACGACAGATAACTTTCATCTTCACTAGAGTGAGCTGGGCTGCTACGTGTAGACTGTTCAAGAACAATAAGACGACACCTATTCCCCCACCCAAGTTTAGGAAATAAATATTTTAAACACATTCTGTCTATACGATGACCCCAAATTGTAAACGTAAAAACTGGAAAACGTATCATCTAATACATGGAAATTCTCCAAAGTCTGAGCACTTCTGCCTCAGGCGAGGAACCAGTAGTCTGCATACAGCTGGTGAACACATAGGATGCTTGCTGACCCAGTTGTCAAGTGTTTGAGAGGGACGAAGGATTCAACCATACTGGCTTGAGAGCAAGGCTTGAACCAACCTAACATAGGATGCTTGCTGACCCAGTTGTCAAGTGTTTGAAAGGGTCGAAGGACTGGCTTGAGAGCAAGGCTTGAACCAACCTAACATAGGATGCTTGCTGACCCAGTTGTCAAGTGTTTGAAAGGGTCGAAGGACTGGCTTGAGAGCAAGGTTTGAACCAACCTAACATAGGATGCTTGCTGACCCAGTTGTCAAGTGTTTGAAAGGGTCGAAGGACTGGCTTGAGAGCAAGGTTTGAACCAACCTAACATAGGATGCTTGCTGACCCAGTTGTCAAGTGTTTGAGAGGGTCGAAGGATTCAACCATACTGGCTTGAGAGCACGGCTTGAACCAACCTAACATAGGACCTTGATTAGGGGCTGGGATCATGTACCAAATACACCAGATTCATGGTTGAGTGCTGTATGGAGATTAAAGAACAAACCACAAGTGTAGAGGTCACGTTTGCTGTTTCAGTAGATTCATCTTATTTGTACATCGGTAATGCAGTTCTGTGTATTTTATTGTATATAAAAAACATTTAGTTATTAATTTGTTTCACAATTCACGTGGTTTTTCAACAGCTGACCTTGAGAGGAGGCGTGTTCAGCATCGATGGCACCCAGGCTGTACAACACACAGTTGTTGCCAGTTTGGATGATCAAGATTTTCTGGTAAGCTTTTTCTGTGCATGAGGCCAGGAATTACCTGGCTGACATTGCCAGTTGAAATGAAGATGTTGATTAACCTAATGTGTTGAGGAATCCCCCATCCCGCCACTTCCCACTGCTGCAGGTTACTTTGTCGGCATATAGTACCCCAAAATAACTGTTAAATTGTTGTTTCTGGGGTTTGCACCATTTTAATTCTCATCCCTGAGATGTTAATCCTACAGTCTGCATTTCTGAAGGGTAAGTATATATTTTTTTAAATCATGGCGTCTACTGCTAAAAAAAACTCAGTCCCTCGGCTCATGTACTTCATATTCAAGTAGTCACTTATATCCTGTGTCTATCTTTGTGTTGGTCTGCCCCTCCTTCCTGATACCATTCCTTCTGCTGTAATTTTTTCTAGTCCACCATGACGCTTGAAATGACCAAAATATTTCAGCTTCCGAGACAAGATGCTGTTTATTAGCCAGTCCTCCTTGATGTTCAGATCTTTTAAAATGTCAGTATTTCTTTTCTTTGCCCATGGTATTCTTAGAATCTTTCTATAGAATTTCAGTGCAGAGGTCCCTGTTTTTTTCTCTAGGGACTGAGAAATAAGACTTTTAATGCTGTTCAATCTTTGCATAGCTATTGCCTTCTTCCTTTTGATTTCTGTCAAACAGTCTCTCTCCACTGCTAGTATTAAGAGCCTAGATATTCAGTTTGTGACAATTTAAAAAAAATGTTTAACTAACCTCTGGTGATGTCAATACACTGGCTAATTCTGGAATAGTGGATTGGATGTGTAGTGGTCTCAGAAACAGGCCAATATTATGTTTCAGTTTATGCGTCAGAGTAGGTTGAAGTAGTTGAATCTCTGATACAGTTACAAACATGGAACAACTTTCCCAGTGTCAGATGTAGAGCTGCATGGAGGCCCATGCCATCGTCCAGGCACATGATAGCCATGATGAAAGTTTAAACAAGGTAGCACTGTTGATTATTTAACTCACTGATAATTGTTTCCGATTGGATGCAGAAATCAGAACATTCCTCGTTTGTGGGCATCTACTGCCAGACCCCCGCCAACAGACATCAGTACAGCTCAGCCTGGGCAGCCGGGGAGCGACTGGCAGACGACATGATAGCTCTAGGTGCCGAGGCTATCTTGGCGGCCGCCAAAGCTGAGACTAAGAAAGAACTCATCAAGGAGCACGAGAAGAAGGGGCAGCACAACATGACCAACCAGGCGGGCAGTTCAGTGCTGGCTGATTAAATTCTTCTCCCGGAATTTTCTTTAAAACAGATTTATTAACTTTCAGATGTGTGTGTGTGCACTTGTGTGAAAGTAGAGTGTGTCTTGCTTTTGTGTTTAGAATGTAGCAGGTATGACTGGGTTGTTCTGTGTGCGATGGTGTTCATAATGTAGCTGGTATGGGTAGGTTGTTCTGTGTGCAAAGAGATAAATTGTATATATGTGCCACCTGTGTGTGCACAGTGATCAATTGTATATTAGTGCCACCTAGGGGCACAGTGATAAATAGAATGTGAGCTGTCTTGGTGCACATAGAGATGAGTATAATAGCAGCCTTGATCCACTGAGGAATGAGTTCTGTGTGTGATGTCTTGGTGCACATAGAGAAGAGTATAATAGCAGCCTTGACTAGATCCTCTGAGGAATGAGTTCTGTGTGTGATGTCATTAGACAATAATACTCCATGTCAGGTTGCTGGGATTGGAACCAAAAGGCCTGTCAGCTGAGCTGGACACGGTATAAATGTAAAGCTGACCTTTCTACTTTTGGAAATGTAATACATTTTTTTGGTGAGAAGTTAAAAATAAAAAAGTCCTAGACATGAATGAGTCAGTAGAGTGCGGAGAGTTCATTAAAATGACGGTGCAGATGTCAGTGTCAAACATGTTGTATTTAAATTCATTATTATATCTGTGATATAACTTTTGCATCATCATCATGTGGCGTGCCGGTTAGCATGGAAAGTTATAGGTTGTTATGAGATCAGCAGTCTCAAATAGGTCTGAGTTCTTGGTTTGATTACACCAGGTGACCAAGCTATCCCCCATGGTTGTCTCCCGCTGGAAATCTTCCTCTAAAGATTTGATTATACCGGGTGACCAAGCTATCCACCACGGTTATCTTCCCCTGGAAATTTTCCTCTAAAGATTTGATTATACCAGGTGACCAAGCTATCCACCCTGTTTGTCTTCCCCTGGAAATTTTTCGATCACGTTTTCCAGTTGTCACCAAGTTCTAACATTTATTTGCCCTGTGACATGTCCAGATAATCCTATGTCAAGTTTCTCTTAAATGTGTGCCTCATTCGTTTGTCTGACCATTCATGGAATTTTTTGCATTTCTCTTAGAAGCCAAATTTCCCACTGCCATTAAATTATTGTGAGCTCATTTGCCGAATGTCCATGTTTCACATGCATGCAACAACAGGGGTTTTATTGAGCAATTTAATTGTAGTGTCAGGGATTTGATCTGATAATTTTATTTAGACAAGCATATCATGAAAGTGTGGAGTTACCAGAGGATCTGGCCAACACTCAAGGGAAAGGCCAGATGGATATACAATCAGACAGTTACTGGTGCCATCAGAATTGGAACTCTTAATTTGCTTCTGAAGATAGGTTCGGAGCACTTATGGGGGTGTCCTAAAAGCTATGATGTCAATTCCTAATTCAACAATCATGAAAGTGTTCCTCTGCCATTTAGCTGAAATAACGATGGCGTGGTTAAGAACCTGTCAGTACAGGAGACAAGCAACTGTTATTGAAGCTTCCAGTGTCTTGGCTTTTGGTGTCTTTGATGACTGTCCCTGCTAAAGCTCGCCAGGCCTCAGGCAGGTTTTGTTACCTCCTGATTTCCTTGCCTGGGGGTGTCAGCACAAAAGAGGAAAAAATGTTGTTTGCCCACGTCTTCCAATAACAGCTAGTTTGTCTGACTCCTGCTTGTCATAGAATGTTTCCTGTGGAAACCACATTTGACCTGTGACAACTGGGTCATCCTTCACCACATTCTGTTTCTTTCTGTGGAAGTGTGAACAATTTAGTCATTCTTTACCACAGAAGGAATTCTGTTTCTTCCTGTGGAAGTGTGAACAATAAGGATGACTTTCTTCACCACAGTGAGATGTGGGCGGGATTCTGTTTCTTTCATTATGAGACCATCACAACAGGACTCAAAATCCAGAGCATTTGTTGTCCCCATTTCATTTTTCTGTTGTGAATTGTACCTTAATCAGAACTGATATCTGCAGATTTGTTTATCACAATGCTAGATGTTTGATTCCACAACACAGGTGAAATGAACACCTGCTGAACGTGGTAGTTTGGATTTCCGAGAACTGTTTCTTTTACATTTGTATTTCTCTACTTTTTTTCAATCTTAATCAGAATATGACTCTTTCATTGTATTTATATTTTCTGATTTGTTAATTTAATCATAATCAGATTTGGTATCCCAGGGTTTGTTTCATCACTGCCATAAATTCCTTGCATTTATTGCTGGTTGTGTTTGACATGGTTGGTTGTGGATCTTTGGGAGTTTTTCAGGTTTGATGCAGGCATTTAGGTTGTATGAATTCTTAAGGGTTTGCATGGATGGGTAGCGGGTTAATAGTTCTCTCATAGGTTTAGCAGTAGTGGACAAGTTATGTCTTTTCTACACCCCCCCCCCCCCCAACAGACATAGATTTGTGTAGATGCTTATAAAACATCCAGTCAAATGTTTCATCTCAGACTTACAAAGTGCCATGCCCAGATACTGCAGCTGTGATGGCTGACTACATCTTGTCTAGCGCCATGTATTCTCTCCTGACCCGAAGTCTTTCAGCCAAGCATGTCGTACAAGGTGACTCATGAGAAGTTTCCTTCTGCGTCTGCCTGGGAGACAAGGAACCAGTGGCCTGCATACACAAAAGCCAGATTTGTAAAATGGATGTGCATGCAAAACTCAAGTTGTGGAACAAGACCAAAGTCCAGAAATGTACAAACAGGCAGTAATGGCTGTGTTGTTGTTGTTGTTGACTGTAGAGTAGACAAGAGCCAAATACATGTCTGCTGTCTGCCCTTACAATTGAGCTTTGCCAGGAACCTGCTTTAGCTTGGTTGAATCTTGATCTGTCACCCCCTTCCCTCTGTGTCATTCCACTAAAGCAATACCGTTGACATTTCCAAACAGAATTGCTAATGTTTGTGTGTGTGGGTATGTCGATGCAAACGCTTTGTAATGCCGGGATGCCAGGTTCGATCCCAGTCATGCGCCTTGCGTTGGTTACAACAGTGGGATCAAGAAAGCAGTGGCAAACTACTGGACGTAAATTTGCCTAGAAAAACCACGCGTCTGTTGTGGTTGGTTCCGCAATGTCCTGTAAAGGATACGCAACTAACCTTGTGTGTGGGTATAGAAACCGTCATGTATTATTAAGCCACCAAGTTGTAATGTGTCTTGGAAGATCTCAAGTTTCAGAGTCACCGTTTTCATGTGAAAAATTGTGACTTGTTATATAAAAAATCCATATCATAATTTGCTATAAGAACTTTGTTGCTCTCATTGTTTCCCATTAGCCACAGCTCTAATTGCATTGCTACTTAACTTGTGTAAACTGTGACATGATTTTATTTTCTTACACTTTATTCCATCAGATAACAGTTCTGTCATACATTTTTAGCCTGCAATATTTTGATTTCTTAGCCTGAAGACTTATGTTTTAAATATTTCACAACGTTCTCATTTTAGCTAAATATTTTCTGTTAAACAGTATTTCTTCTGATAATTGCTGTCACAGATATTTTTCCTGACTACTTGTCTGTCACCAGTACATGGTTTTATCATATTTTTTATTATGTGTATTACCTTGTAATGTGTGCTCTAAGTGTTATGACATTTTTTTTCATCTAATAACATATCACAAAATTGACAAGTGGTACTTGTCAGTGACACATTGTTCCCTTCCTGTTGTCTCTTGCTGTCAGTTTTATAAAAAAAAGTAAAAGACCCTTTTTCACGCCTTTAGGCATATTGGGTTAGACTTATAGACCATTTGGCACTTGGGTGGTTTGGTCAACATCATGCTGGTCACCTTTACTTCCCAGGGCTTGTACCAGGTACCCACTCAAGGCTGGGATCCAGTCATTTATTTGTTCAAACGTCCGCCATTGTCAGGACCCGACCCAGGACAGTCAATCATAAAATAATATATTATTCAGTGATATCTGTTTTGTTGTTCCTCTTGTGCAGAGAAAACGGGCACAATGAATGTCTAAAATATCAAGTAGTTCCCGGAGGGTTCCAAGCAGTTATGAGTGCCAATGTATGTGCCAAGATGTACAAATAAAAAAAAGTTGTGAAGATGTGTTCCCATTCCTGTACAGGTATGTGGTGCTAGTGCCATAGTTCTATAGACCGATCAATACTGGAGCAGGGTTTCGAATACTTACAGCCATGGCGTTGCCACTTCCATTCTCAGGTTGTATCCAGCAGACATGTTGTTTCAGGTAACATTTCACATATTTTGTAAAAGTGTGCCTATCAGACAGAATGGTCATAAAGCAGTGCCAGTTTTCATGTTTTATTGCAGCCAGGTGGGGGAAGTCCATTCAGGGAGCCTGACCAGGTTGGGGGGTGGGGTCATTCTAGCATTTGATTTGGTTTTGACTGAGTTCCATTTTGTGTAAGTTGTCTGAGTTATCAACACAAGTTGCAGTTTAACTGTCAGATATTGTTATCTGTCTCTGAGTTATCAGCACAAGTTGCAGTTTAGCTGTCAGATATTGTTGCCTGTCTCTGAATTATCAACACAAGTTGCAGTTTAGCTGTCAGATATTGTTGCCTGTCTCTGAATTATCAACACAAGTTGCAGTTTAGTTGTCAGATATTGTTATCTGTCTCTGAGTTATCAGCACAAGTTGCAGTTTAGCTGTCAGATATTGTTGCCTGTCTCTGAATTATCAACACAAGTTGCAGTTTAGCTGTCAGATATTGTTGCCTGTCTCTGAATTATCAACACAAGTTGCAGTTTAGCTGTCAGATATTGTTATCTGTCTCTGAGTTATCAGCACAAGTTGCAGTTTAGCTGTCAGATATTGTTGCCTGTCTCTGAATTATCAACACAAGTTGCAGTTTAGCTGTCAGATATTGTGGCCTGTCTCTGAATGATCAACACAAGTTGCAGTTTAGCTGTCAGATATTATGGCCTGTCTCTGAATTATCAACACAAGTTGCAGTTTAGCTGTCAGATATTGTGGCCTTTC